ATATATATATATATATATATATATATATATATTTATATATATATATATATATCCTCATAAAAACTTAATGGCAAATAATTATTTATACGTCTCTATCACCATGTGTTTGCGTTTGTGGTCGAGTCTGTGAGGGTGTAGGACATGGGTGCAACCATTTCCGAAACGACACCTAGCAAAGCTCTGATTTCCTTCCCGATTAGTTTGAGTTGTTTGCGGTCGATCGAGCCACAATTTTCAGGCCGGCCAAGAATCCTCACGCACATATTGAGTCTGTTTTAAGTGCAACAGCATTCGCGGTCTGAGCTGTCTCCTATTCCAGCTGAACCTTGAACGAGATGCCTCTGTTATAGACAAGGTAATATATAAAGCTACATATAATTTTCTGATACTACTCTGATACTACACATGGATATTTACTTTTTACATTGAATAGCCGTCTGAAATTGACACTTGAAATTAAGAACTTTTATTGTGAATATAAATATTGTTTTTAAACATCTTGTGTGTACCTCACGGTTAGGAAAGTGGTTACTCCGTTAGATTGCTAATCTAATGCCCTCTGGGCGCGTGCGTTCGAATCGCGCACCGTGTGTTTTTTTTAACTTTCTTTTGTTCATGTATATAATCACTTGTGTTTGTACAAATGGACTTATCAGCTTCCGACCTTACATCATAAAAACCATGTACTGGTGGTAAAATTTTGCAGGAATCAAGCAACGCGATAAGTTGGAGCTTCGCATCGTATAAACGCGCGGGACGATAGACATAGCCTTGTCAGACCATATGCAGTATCGTCATATGTCTATATATTTTTAATTGTACCTTCTACTATGGATATGGGCCTTAAAAAGCCAAAGACATAGTTATTTAGAATCTACTTTTGTTACAGTACAATACTACTGTGTTCTCATATCAAAATACAAGCTACCCAAGTACCCAAACACAAGACTACAAAGCATGTGAGCAAATATTATGGCTTACAAGATCAGTCACCAAAATCTTGAGTGTACGCTATGAGACCGGTATAAGTCGGAGATGTGAAGTGTCAGCTTCAATCTACATTTTGAACGTGCGGAGACGCACACACCAAGAGCTAACCGCAACGCCGAGGAAGGTCATCTAGACTATACCGCGAACCCCTCTTAGACGTCGATCGTAGAACTGACATACACTACGTCAGTGATAGAACAATTGACTTCGGCGACGAATGAATGTACAACTGCTTACCCATGTTAACGACAGAATAGAACGGCTTATGTCACAGTAACCCATATAGGCAACTACCGGGTTCTAATTAGACAAATTAATGATTGTTGTCAATAGCGACAATATGTCTACTGTGGGTAGCAAGATGATACTGTGGATACGAAAATTGCACTGCTGCTACACAGCACGGACAAATGTTGATAGACGAAACTTGCTTTTATTTTCATGTTGATGTTAGTACAACACGACATACATACATAGTCAAAAGAGATGTGCTGTCGTTGAGCACAATATGGTACTTTGTAGAATATGGAGAGTAGCTGAAAGATACAAGAGAATAGGAATATAATAGACCTCTTCTCAAGTACGGTTATCTCAGCTAGGAAAAGTCCTTAGTTTGAGAGAACCGAACTGAGTCCTTATTTGTGTTTTCACTAGACTCGGGATTTACTTGAGTGTTTCTCATACACGCGGGAGTCCCGGTATATCTTACCGGTTCTGCCGCTAATATTTCTGATGACTCTAATGTCAGAAATATTACAATCCTAATTCCAAAACTCAGTATTGCTGATTCTGGGTTTTGGGATTGTAGTCTCTCAAATGATGAACGGAAAGATTGTTAACACAGTAAAGTACAGTAGAAATAGATACGGCATGGATAAACTAGAAACTGCGGTCGATTTCATGCTATCGGATGAAAATGTGATATTTACATCCTGGAGCACCAAAAAGTCAAGAATAGGCGATGATGAAACTATCACATTACCAGAATTAACTTGAAGGAAGCCGGCTCAAGTAATGTACAAGGATCATAGCGTGCCTGTGGATGACGATGATCACTTTGGAAAAGCTATGAAGATTCTGCTCGCAATCACTAAAACCGATGAGAAGCTCCTTATATAGCTGAATGCTTAGTTACTGATGTAATCGATACCATGCAAACAATATTGTAGGTTTTCTCAGAGAACCAGGCTGAAAAGAGACGTCTGGAGAACAAAGACTTCTGTTATACAACAGCTGGACCACCACGTTGTACTTGAGGATGACATAAATACACATGGTTTAGATTATGCTTTGCGAGAGCCTGATGATGACGCTGCTATCCCTGGGTGATATCCGAAACTAAGAACACGGTACAAAATAAAAGGTATGGCGATTCCGATGTATGAGACATGGGAGGTCTTAGAAATTTGTAGAGACAAACTTGCAATATACTCAGGTCATCGCATACGTGTTAAAAATCAGCAGCATCACTATAATGTAATGCTCAAGGATACGGCTAAGAGTTGTATCGAAAAGAGAGGCAGCACAGGCTTGTTTCCCTTAATCGATTGGAAAACAAAGTTCGATCCTGTGTCGTCAAGAGAGACGACCCATGAACACTATGGCCAGAGAGGCATGGGGTGACATGAATGCATGTCCATGTACTTTGTGTACAAGGAGGTTACTGAGGTTGGAGATGACAAAATTGCTAATATGAAGGGCGAAGCTGTACGCCATACTCTTTATGAAGATCATATCTTAGAGGGGTATAATAGACAAAAACACATCCTGTCTCTGTAGTATGATAGAAAATATTTGAATGCAGTTGATGAGAAGCGCCCATACATAGAGACAACTGTGCTTGTGTCAGATAATGCCGGATACTATAGATACAAGGAAGGAGCTGCTGATATTCCTTGGAGTACTGAATCTGAGTTGCCTTTTCGAAATCATTCGATACATCCACACCGAGACCCAGAATGGGAAGGGATTGATTGACGCTCACTTGGCACGAGGTGGCGGCCACGTTGGTAGTTTCATGAGATGTTCTAAATAAAATAGGATTAAGAAATTTACAGGAACTGCTGATATTCCTTGGAGTGTTGAAAATGAGTTGCATTATCAAAATTATTCGATACATCCACACCGAGACCCAGGATGGAAAATTGACGCTCAGTTGGCACGAGGTGGCGGCCACGTTGGTAGTTTCATGAGATGTTCTAAATAAAACAGGATTAAGAAAATTACACCATCTCAGAACCTAGCTGCAGCTTTAGCTGGGAAGGGCATCCCTACCTTCTTTTTCCAGCTTGTCGCTGTTGATCGGGGTGGTGAATTTCAGTTGTTTATTGATAGAATCAAAATACTTACCGATGCCATCTTCAAGTACTTCAGGAGGGCAGTTGCTGTCGACTTTCATGGTCTTGATTGCCCGCTGTTTGGATATGAACGTTGAGACCTAGAGAAACGTTTAGAGAGTTATACAACACTATCAGCATGTGTTTGCTTATTCTGGTGTGAGTGATGGCTTATTGATTAGAGTATCGTTTAAGGATGATACATTGTATCGTGAAAGAGTTATCAGATTCGCATAGAAGTAGTACGGATGCTCAGATCGAGCAAGGTAAGTATTGGTGCGAAGAGCAGTAATGAAGACATGTGTGTAAAGGTGGACAACAATTTTACCGCTAATGAGGCAGAATATGTTCATAGCTCCGTTTCTGATGAGGTTGGGTCAAAGAGAAAGGAAGCAAACAGCGACTTGAAGGGGGGTGATGATCATAAGGCTGAGACTGAGAATAAGGAACATGATTATATTCTAGAATCTATGGATGTCGGGGACATAAACAACACTGAAATAGTGATATATATTGAACCCGAACTGAATGAAGACATTGTTATCAAACCTTTAGATGATTTTCCGAAGAGCTTGAGGGATACGAGCCAGGCGATCCAGATAATGAAGTCAACCGATTATCCAATAGGGAAATCAAGGATGTAATTAAGCAGTCTAAGTTAGAACCCATTCTCGACCCTCGAAATCAAACACGCTTGCAAAGCACAGAAAGTGAGTACTCTGGCGTAGCTTAATGCTAAGGCATGCTTGCTTGCGCATTACGTAGTGCAAATACATTGATATCGTCGCATGCTATCAAGGTGCGCAACGGGAGCGATGTGTTTCAGGAGGTGAGCTTTGCAGCCTCATTTCATCCCCCAAACTGATCCAAGGGCGGGCTAGACACAACCCTTTTGGTCAACAATATGGTCGATCATTTATCAAACTGATCCAAGGGCGGACTAGACACAACCCTTTTGGTCAACAATTTGGTCGATCCTTTATGAAGTATGTTCTGGATATGAAGGAAATATTTGAAAAGGGTGCGATTGACCTCGCAGTTAATTAAAGCTCTGTTGAAGCTAATGTCTCCGGGTCTATATCCTTTATCAGGAGAGATTGATTTACGTTCGCAGATCTCGGCCTTGATGCAGGCAAAGAAAAGTGAAGTATCGAAACGTAACTGAAAAATGCCTGGGTCCAGCAGCAACGGCTTGACGAAGCGCAAGCCAGGGCAAGAGGCTAGGTTTATGTACCTCCTGAAAAACAGAAACGCGTAAGACAATAGATACTTTCCAAAAAGGTACCAGGAATTCATAACGAACATGGTGAAAGATGATCTGAATATCAAACGGCAGACGGCTGTACCGGTGCTATTTAGCGCAATATCTGCTAAAGAGAAGAAGGATCTCTCTCCGAAGACTTCCCAAAAAAACGACAGGATCAAACCGAACTCTTTTGCTATAAAACTAAAGCGAAGAAGGCAGAAATTAGGGGAAGATTTAATCATCTTTGATTTATAACAATAGATCTTACACGACGTTTTTATAGTCCACACTTTCACTTATATGACCACTACTGCTTCGTAATTCACTGCGAGTCGTTATTTTTGAGTTTAGAGTGGTTCTAGGTTCTTAGCTTGCGTATAGGGACCCACCATTGGTGCCATTATTGTGACTTTATTGTTCTACAGGTGGCAACTTCGTAGCTAACTTTTGAGATATTAATACTACGGATTTGGCTCCAACGGACAAACTAGTCACACGTACTGGCTCGATGCGTCTGCGGTGAGAAAATAGACATTGGCACCAAAGCATATTTGATTGAATTGTCTTTGCCCCGAAAGTTGGGTCAATTTGTTCCCGTTGATATCCGATTTTTTTTTGAATAAATTTTATTATCTCTATAGGTATAACTAAAATTCCCCTTGAAACTATGTATGCCTTTATTGAAAGTCGTTTTGTGAGTGTTGCAGGCCTTTTGTTCGTATATTTATATTAACATAGGTGATCGAAACATATCTTGTGCCAGGTGGTGCCGTAGAGAGCACTGATAAAAAGAATGTTAATGGGGACTAGTTGTTATCGAGTACTCAGCATATCTGTATATGCCGAGACACGCGCTAGTAAAATACAAAATTACCGCAGATTTTAATATGCTATCTATATTTTATCATCTTGTTTCTGGAATGACATCAGAATTCGTCAGGAATTCTTTACTGATGTCATTCCATCACAAGACACTTCTCTTGATTTTTTACTAGGGTATGAAAGCGAGGGAACAGAAGGTCCTTCGTACCATCTGTTCCCTTCAAGCTAAAGTCGTGAGCTGTAACTTTACAACCCCACCGACAGATCACATCGTGTATTATGGCGGAACAGAATCTTAGAAATATCATTCAACAACAACAGGAACTATTGGGGAACTTGCAGGCACAAGCGTGCAGCTGCAAAATCAGATTAACGGTATATAACAGGACCCTACAACAGCGGTAATACGCCAGGTCGTTCGGGAACGTGGGGTACTTGGTGCCAGACCCTGACCACCCGAGTAGTTTGATGAATTTTCAGACATCGCCTACAATTAACAATAATCAGGCGTTCGCCCTTTGGTTCCAAGCACGAGTAGCACCTCAGTCTGAGGTATCTACAGGGGAACCACTCGAGCTCTTCTCATCACTTTTCTGCCAGAACGTGGACTTCCCAGACGGCCTCCGAAGCCGACCCTGTGTGCTGCCTACCTGGTACGAGAGAGAACCAATTCCGGTTCAGAAGGAGCTTTTAGATCACATCACGCACTACAACTGGTTGCTAAAAGGCTTAAATCAGTCGGCAGTGGCGAGCACAACTACTGAGGAGCAGCTGTCAGCTCTCCAAGGAGCAGTCTGTGAACTCATCACAGATATTATACATATTTGCGAATCCAAATATATTCGAATTAAAGAAGGTTCTGCGGTTGCAACACTCGTCGAGAATAAGCATCGGGCTACACACGGTATCACAGGAAATTATGCCGATATTTATACTTTTAAAGCAGTCTTACAGAAGAAGCAGGAATTTGCACTCATCAAGGGCACAGCTCGAAAAGATTGGCCGGACAACAAAGAAAATCGTCCCTACGATCCAGAAAAACCAATTTACAACAATAACAAGCGAGGGGGACGGGGCAATAGAGGCCCCCAGCCCAAAGGGGGTAACAATTCACCACCTCTCTCACAAACAGCCTCCCTATAAGTACTACACTTTCGATGGTCGATGTGTGTCCCTACATCCAATACACACAACGCCCAACGGTTACCTCCTTTATTTGAGTCGGTCAAATCTAACATCAAAGCTTGGAGAAAGGCTGGCGCCTCTATAGAGGTGATAAAATGGACCCATTGTGGAGTAGAGATCCCGTGGGGGCAAAATGGTCCGCCCAAGCCGACCAAGCAGGGTTGGTTCATCGACATCAAGGAAGTCAGCGACGACGTCACACAGACAGAATACGACCGCCTGGTAGACGCAGGTTATATGCGTCAAATCACAGAGAGCGAAGCTTTCTGCGTTCACGACGCATTTGCCGTGAAGAAATCCGACGCCTCTCGAGTCAGAATAATAATGAACCCTGCTCTGATAAACCAAGTAGCCGAAGTACCGAAATTCAAAATGGAGGGTCTCGAGCTCTTGGCATCGACGGCGAGACCTACGGACCACCTAATGTCAGCGGACTTTCGCGACGGGGGTTTTGCCCTCAGAGTTCGAGACCCGAAGTGGTGCCAGATCCGGAGGCCAAATGGTCAGCTTTACGAATATCTAGCCTTGCCCATGGGGGCCACCTTCAGCCCACGGTGCTTCTCCAAACTGGTGGATGTTTTCCGGAAGATCGTGCGACAGAGGGGCATCAGGATTTTTATATATGCGGACGACCTCTTGCTGATGGCACACAGGTCTTGAATAATCCACTATCACAACCAAATAGACCAGAGAGTCAACTGACTAGGTCTTCGGTTAGCGCCAGAAAAATACCATTGGATGATCCCAATGAGGCGCCTAGACCATCTTGGGATCCATATCGATCCCACCACGGGCAAGTATCATCTCACCGAATCCTTTCAATTGAAGCTTCGGATCGAATCTTGACATTTGCAAACCAATTTGGTGAGCGAGCAACGATACTTCAGTCTCAAAGCCTGGCAACGCTACCTAGGCCTCGTCCAATGGGCTACGTTCGTAACCCCAAAGGTACGACCCTACCTGGTAGACCTTCGACGACAGGGACGGGCTACCCCAGCACACAAGTCGGAGCGGACTCCACTTTCAACCCGTTTGCGTCTTTCAGGCGCCGCAATGAAGTAACTGGAGAAAATGGTTTACGTGTTGGACAATCACCAACCGCGCGACATCTTCCCACACCTTCCGATGGACCATACTCTGACATCCGATGCGTCGAAGATAGGTGGTGGTGGTACCCTAACTGTCGAAGCGCGAACGCGGACCACTGCATGGAAATGGCTACCGCACATGGTCACATGGCCTATCGCAGTACTGGGGCTGCGTTTGATTGTACGCTGCCTATAGCACTTTTGGACACATGCACTTCTATCACTACGAACTCCAATTTTAGTGATGGCGGATTCAACAACAGCTTTGGCGGCGCGTCAGTCCTCCGGTTATCTAATGACTCAGGAGTTGCTCAACCTGGCTTTCACCGTTCACCGTCTGCATGCAGTGTGGTCAGTCGCACTAGCGTATCTCCCGGGGGCTCTGAATCACGCTGCGGATTTCCTATCACGCATGGGCAGTCTGCTGAAATATGCATGGACGATTCATCCGAGAGTACCACATGAACTTTACAGCATGTGGGCGTTACGGCTGAAGGAACAGCCCAAGGATATCTTTCCACAGGACTATTACCGCAACCTCGCACACCACCCGGGGATAGCTCAAGTCCACGCATTCCACAGGCGATGGGACAAGGAAGTGTGCCTACTCATGCCGCCGGAGCCGATGATCACGGACACGCTTCTTCGATTGATAGCACAACGAACCACGGCGGTTCTAATATGCCCACTGTGGGTGCGCACACCTTGGTGGCCCGTACTCATGCAGAACGCCCTCGACATGCATACGCTCGCGTCTGGTGAGGTTCATTGTCCCGTCGACGTGGCCGAGTACTTAGGCGCAAGTCAACCACCATGGCGGTTTGTTGCGGTGCTCGTCGTCCCGCCACCCTTGCTGGACTAGACGTGTCATCGTATGAAGCATGGTTTAACCTCAATGGCATAACAGATGGCACAGCTCGTCAATACGATATCAAGATCAATCGATAGAAGCGTATTGCTCCTGCACTCTTGTTACCAGTGGATTACCCCCCTGCCACTCGGTCGGCAGCTATCAAGTATTTGGTTCATCTCATGCTGAACACGAACATGAACCCACGACAGACACATACTGTCAGTGCCGCTATGATCAAATGGAGTAAGGCGCTCAACCACGAATCTTCATCGATGAGTGTTCACCACCGACATATGGAAGGAATTTTAAACGGCGTACAAGTCCATCTACATACTGGAGGGCCGAACACAACCGGCGGCTGAGCTGAGCTTTGAATACGCAGGTTGGGTGTATACGGTATTCCGTTCTGCGCAGGTACCTTTACATTGGAAGGCGCTGATAGTATACTTCTTCCTCGTTGGACCTCGCATATCATCGATGAATCTATTTTGTCCGGTCCATGTCGCCTTTAGTCCTGCTGATCGCATGATACACACGACGCTTGTCGGACGCAAACGGTTCAATCGTACGTACGATGCTTTTGCATCCCATGGTCGACAGGTTAACACAGAAGTTTTTGCGTTCCTCCAGGCTAACCTTAAAAGTTAAAGATGCCCCGGATTTCATGGGAAGGCAATACTTTACTTGTGGGTCAGCTCAGCCTTCACGGGCTCTGGATACCATTGACGAAATCTCCAATTCTCCAGTGCAACGACGGTTGTTTTGGGTAGACCTGACTCAGAATTTTCTCCTTGCAGGTATCCCCAGCAAACTGATATCACCATTGACATCCCACGGCTTTCGTCGAGGCTTCGTGGCCAGTGCGTTAGCATTGGGGGCATCACACAACGGTATCAGTACGGTGCTTGGGATCGCCGAGGGGTCCGTAAAGTCGTGTGTGCGGGATATTATCCCCACACATGCAGACAGCTTCTTCAACGCGGACCTCGCTCCTCCGGGCACTACGGTGACTGGAAGTACAACAACATAAATTACCGCAGATTTTAGGATTAAGAACAAGAAGCTTTCATTACATGTGGGCTTCCATACGTAATGACATAGCATAATTCTTTAGCTCAATCAAGGGATTTATCCGATTATATGAGTACGATAAAGCACTTTTGTATCAGATTCGCAAATCTTCTAAAGAAGTGTACAAGTGAACAGAGGCAGTCTGAAGTAGATATATAAAACACTTCGGTGAAAGACTCGCAGAATTTCTACTGCCCTTAACATGGAAATATTGCTGCACTACTTCACACAACACAGAGCAATGTTCGGCATTGAACCGAAAGCAAGAGAATGAATTTAAGGGTGAAGACTCCAAATTTCACTGCAAACATCACGGCAAGAGCAAGTTACACAATACCGCAGATTGCAGGATGAAGAAACAGATGCCACACAACAGCAGCAATCATAAATCTCTGCACAATATTCGGGCTGATGAATGCTTACGGTGTATGGGGTGACATAGCAGGTCACAGTGCACGGAAGATAACATGATTTCGGAATTACAAGTCAGCGCTAAGGAAATACCTGACAAAATCTCGCAGCCTTGCCCGAGATGTAATGGAAAGCATTTCACTCGAAATTGTCCCATGACTAACGAAAGCACGAGGGGTGAATATGAGGTCAGAGTTAATAAATGCTCAGAAGGGTAGACGAGTCTAAATAAGGTCAAGGAATGTATTTCAAATGAACCACGTGAGATCAAAGGCAGAGAAAACATACTAAATCTCCTGAATGTTCGCAACAACGACAAGGACAACACGTCGAAAGTTATATTCAGATTATGAAATAATGCGAGGGAGACATCGATAAATCACGTTGGCAGCAATGGCAATTGTTCCCTGAAGTACGTTACTACGGAGACCAGAGAATTAAATTGGATTGCCTGCTCGATGAAGGTGCACAGATATCGGTCATCTTAAAGGAAGCAACCCATCAGTTGAAAAGGGTACATTCATCAACCATTGTCAGTGTCCATCCCTCACCCACGAACAAGCATCGTATTACAAAGCCATTTTACATTTTGGAGTACAAGGATGACATTTCAACACAAGTTCAGTGTGTTCCAAAGAATACCATCTGAAGGAGCAGATTTGATTCTTGGAATGGCATTGTTATATTCATTCTGTCATTGAAGATATAGAGTCAGGAATGAATTCCGTATGAATGACGGAAAAGTACTGAAATTTTAAGGCAATATCGAGAAGAACCAAGGATGGTAAAGATTGTGGATCAAAGCACGAGGGATGAATATGAGGTCAGAATTGTTGGCTGTCAAGTGATTCCCAGGAATTCAGTCAAGATCATACAACTGGGAGAGAATGGTTTGAAGAAAGCTCTACCGCTATCGATGTTCACCCCAAAAGATGAAGACAAGATCATTCATAGCTGCGGTCAAGGGATCAAGAAATATACAAAAAGGTCGATTTCGAGCCCTGATTACTAGCATGTCTATTGATGTATTAGAATTGTATAACGCCGTGACTGTACGATTCACGAGTCAGAAGGAGGTTCTGCACATAGAGGGAAAGATAGTCGATCTCGCAATCGCGAAAGAAGAGATGAAGGTTGATGTTGATTAATACCAACTTATAGAAGAGGAGAAATTTAAACTACTGCCATATGAGTATCAACACCTTGGTAGTCTACCAAAAGAAGATCGTGAGAAGGTTGAGCGATACTTATAGCACACATCGATCTATTCGACCACGGGCCTGATGATGATAGATTCATGCGGATTCTCATAGCACACACCGATCTATTCAACCACGGGTCTGATGATAATAGATTCATGAGTATTAATCCAGTGCGTTTATATATATATTAAGAACGAGGAACCTACATATATTAAGCAATACACTCTATCGATAATACAGCAAGAGGCATACAAAGAGCTAGCAAAGAATCTTTTGGAAGGAAAGCATTCTCCAATATTCAAACTAGGAGTGTAATTCGCCCTGCCAAATCATACCGAAGAAGAATGGCAAGTGGAGCTTAATTAAGACGTGAGAGCAATTAATGAAGCTCTGGTATAAAAAGATTGGCCGCTTACCTCTATCGAGTTGCAGGCTGCAAATACTTCACCGCTTGGGAAGTGAAAGATGGCTACTTTCGTACGAAATTTTCTGGCTTTCTCTACACCTTGTGTAAAATATATGAATACAAGGTATCACCTCAAAGATGACGACGAGTGGTGTGATCATTTGTCGAGAGATCGCCCATCCATTGAAAGGAATCCCTAAAACTATACACCATGTAGTCGATCAGGGGGAGAAACACTGGATGTCCTCCTGGCATCCTTAGATCGAGCTTTCGGCGCTCTCAGAACCAAGAATGTCATGCTGAAAGGCAAAAAGCTGTCCATAGGCGATCGTTGCATGGAGCTACTAGGGTATGTAAGCGAAGAGGAAGGCACAAGGGTTGATCCCGAAAGACATGAGAAAACTACCTCATGATTAGCGCCAGCAAACACCAAGGAAATGCGGAGCTTTCTCGCATTGTGTTCTTACGCTAAAAAATTTATTCCAAACTATGCACAGCGGGCTGAGCTGTTATATAAGAACCAAATCATCAGGCAGCATTTGACGATCTCAACAAGCACTAGCAACCACCACGCTGGGGTATCCTGACTATTCTAAAGATGCCGAGCCATTTCGGTCAAAATATATGCTTGCCAGGTTAGCGAAGGATGTTCTAGTTTTGCACAGCCACATAACACAGGGTTGAAGAAGAAATGGCTATTCAGATATAAAGGCCCCTATGTGATTCACAGAGTGACAGGACTCACATCTTACGAGTCACAAGCCCAGTCACAAACAACACAAGCAAACATGATTACCCGCGAATCCTGAAGTATACGCCACTGCCAGATCTGCCAGATCTTTCGGGCGACACACACGAATTCGAAGATATTGATGCGGAAGAAGTCGAAGTCGAACAAGTCCTAGACAAACGCGTTGAACACACACCCCACGGACTCGAATACGCATACAAGATCAAGCTCAATAGCAACACCACCCTGCATTAGTACAACGAACGCGACCTTCAATATCCAGAGCTCCTAGTGGCTTACAACCACGACCACATACGTGGTGCAGCCACGCATTGCAACGAGAAATGAATGCAGATTCATAATCATAATCGCAAATACTACTGCTGCATTAATCTGAGGGTAGATCCCTCCACTTACAGGAGGGGGGATGTTATTGAGCACTCAGCATAACCGTATATGCCGAGGCGCTCGCAAGTAAAATTCATAAGAATACTGCCCTGAGCAATAAGAACACTCGCGATCACTATCTTGGTATGTACTCATCAACTATATGCATCCAGTCATATCTTGGGATGTGCTCTTCAATTATATGTGTCAATCAAATACGAAAGCATTTCAGAATTGAAAAAGTGCATTATTTCTAATTATGATGTTTGACTATTATTACCATCCATCTGCTATTTTTGTATTTTTGATGTATTTCGTAACTTTATACACATCACAGGACTAGAGAAAACACAACGAGAATTAATATGCAGATGGAGCAAGATTCACTGTACTAAGCAAGGCCTACTGCACGAAGTATCAATTCTTCTTAATTTTGCCTGCAAGAATTGTCAAAAGAAGGAGTTGACAACAGTAAATGACAATTATACTTGCCTATTGTGGTAGCTTGATTCGAGCGAAAGACATCATACGCAACGCTGACCATGAGGCTCTTTGCAGAGACAGTGTCTCAGGTTGTGCACATCAAAAGGGGTGTGAATCTTTAGAAGCAGAACTGCTCTAAATAAGGTTGACTTGGATGTCACTGAGAGGTGGTGCGCTCCAGACTCAATTGTCACAGTATATAACGTTTCGGGTTATCGGACAGAAGGGCAGATTGGTGAACCTCGACTAAAGAGCAATATCTGACTAAAGAGCAATATCTGCAAGCCAACAATGAAAAATGCATATGTACAGCATCGAAACAGCAAACTTGTTATTGCAAAGCATTTCTTATTGCATTACAGACTCTAAATATACTCCTTGCCAGGTGATAAATTGGAGTTAGCTGACCACCTAGAGGAGCATAATAATCCTACATATATAACTATATGATCTCTTTTACAACTCCGTATACAGGATAACTAATCGATAAATATAAAATGTGTTTTTTTTTCGCTTTTACAATCAATACATACAGGCGTAAAAGATAGTGTTTGTATGAGATATACTGATGTGAACAATAAGTTATAGATATTGGGATAATATTATTTATTCCAATTTGGGGTTAATTATTCTTGCAATAAATTTGGCTACGAATGAAGATTTACAAATCAATCACGCCAGTGTTTTTATAAAATAAATTACTTAAAGTATAGTTTTTAATGCGATATTTTACAGTTCTTAACCAGTAAGGTAAAACAAACTTCCCATTGTCATGTATGCTTTTTTTCGAGTCTTTTTTGTGGGAGTTGCAAGTGTTCTATTCATA